GTTACATTATGGAAAAGCGTTTGAATATTCACTGTAAGAAAGAGCTTAAACAGAAAAAAAAGCTTTTGTAGCACTGAAGACAAGTTTCAGGACGCTTGTAGAAGCTCGTATCTTGTAAAACGTGCTTCCTTAATACGTTGTGCACTTGCCCTACTCAGCCTTTTGTTTCCATGATTACACGCGCTCTCCTCCTTCCCCTTCTCCCTCGCCACACGCTACAATCCCTTTTTGTGTATTCCCGCTAGGCACGCTCTGTCCATTGACCGAATGGCGATGGGCACGTGTGTGCTGCTCTGCCCTGGCAAACGTTTGTGTGCGGCGTTCGGGGCGGAGGGGGGAGGACTGAAAGGCTTTTCTTTGCTGTGCACAAAGGTCACACACCCCCCCCGCCCCCCCTTTGCGGTTTGTTCTCCGCTGGTCCGCTGCACGGCTGCGGCTTTCGTCTGGGGCTGTCATGGATACTTTGGGGATGTGTTTGTAGGCTAGTCCTGTAACTGAACAAGTCCGGGAGTGCGTACTGGTGTCCTGTCCCACTGGTTTTGTTCTGCTAATGGAACGGTCTCTCTCCCTCGTGAGACAGGTCTGTGTGTTCGGTCTCAATGCTGGCAAAAATAAAGAGCGTTCCGTGATTGTTATTAGTGGTGCAGAATTGCTTCCTGCTGTTTTTTCTGATGTGGCTTTTAGACACCCCCTCGGCTGTTATCCTGTGGAGGGAAACAGACTGAGATTTTTGCCTCCTGTGCACTTTATTGATTGGATTAAGGATAAAATTGAAGCTTTCCTAAAAGACTGTGTAACTTTAGAAATGAATTATTACAAACGTATGGGATAATTTATTTTTTCTAATCCCGTTTAGAAGTAACTGTTAAAATAAATGGATTTACTGGTGGAGGTAAAAGGAGAACCTGAATCTAGAAGGTCTCATTGTACATTTACCTTTTGCGTTGTTGAGCTCGGAGGATCAAGTAATTAAATTCGTGAGCCAGAGAAGAGATTGAAAGTAGGTAGTAGGAGAGACCACCCTTTAAAAATGTTAAAAGTTCCAGAAGGAGTTGAAATTCTTGTATCACCTGGATGAACTTGGCCATGGCCTTGTGTCTCCTGTTTCCCCATGTGACAGTGTTGCTTCTGAGGTGTACACAGCATGGAGTGCTTGTGATTTTGTGTCATAAAATAATGCTCCATTACTGTGCTCTTTTTTTTAATTATTTTTTTATTTAATTGGAATAGTAGAATAGTAAAACCATGCAAAGTTACTTGGGAGAAGGGAGATCGATCACCTGCTGAAGAGGCAGCTCTCTGCCATTAAAAGTGTGAAGGTAATAGGCAGCCTTTTAATTGCGGAAAATGTGACTTCCAAAATGCCAGGTGGAGGGGAGTCTGTGGGGATTCCTGTGTAGAAATGAAGAACTGAAGAGTAAGGATGGGCCAGGTGTCTGCCTTTCATGAGGATATTCCCTGTGCCACGTCCGGTGCCAGCGTAACTGCTCTCCCTAAACGATAAGGAAGCTTTGAAGTCAGGGGAGGGCTGAGCTGTCAGGTGAGCCAGGGATCAGGAATTACCGTGGTGGTTTGATGGCACGTGAAGGAAGCTGGGAAGTGCAGCATGGTTCTGACGAGCACAGGCTCGGTTAGGTTCTCCTGGATGCTGGCTGGCATGCCGGGCAAGTGGGACCCGTGTCACGTTGGGCATCAGGTATGAGGAAGTGTCCTGGTCTGCCAAACGTAAAATGACAAAGTCGTTTGTAATCTCTGATTACTAATCTCTGTGGTTTTTTTACATCTGTACCTCCCTTGTGTCGTTATCCAACAGCTGATAGCTTTCTTTTCTTGCCAGCTACTTAAAAATGAAGTATACTATTAATGATCTTAGGAGTTAACCAAAATCTTTTACTTTGAGCTTCATAGGAAAGAAAAATAGGTCTTAAATATGGTTACTTAATGAGTAACTAGCCTTTACTAATTATTTGTGTCTGATTGCAATTTACCACAGGTGGGTGCAGCTAAAGTTCATTATAGACATTTCTTCCTAGATATGAGGTGGTTTCTCCCAGTAAGTAATCAGCTTGAGAATATGTTGCAGAAGACACGTGACTACATGCACAGGTTTTTTCCCTCTAAATTATTTAGAGGTTGAGAGTGACTGTTTAACTCTTAGGTATGCATAAAAGGGTACTAATAGGAGTAAAACATCCCTATCCACTATCCCTTGATGGGATGCTACCTACCTACAGTGCAGGCTTTGTCTTTCCTGCACACATCTGAAGTTTGCTGGGGGTAAACAGCTACTCCTCTGTCCGCTCACGGGATTCACAGTACATCAACTTCATTTTGTCTGCACTGTAACACGGCGTGGTGCAAACATTGGGTGACCTTCCTTGTGATCTCATCTAAACCTGAATCTGTGCCATAAAGCTGTTTTTTCTTCTTGGTGAAGTTCTGAACACGTCCTCTTTCCTCTCGGCTTTCTGGTGAGGCCTGAGCCGCCTCAGAAACGCAGGCGCTCCTGGTTTGCCTTAGCCAGGGCACAGTACTCGCCTTGAATATGCAATGCAGGCTTGTGTTCTAAAGGTCTGAAACCCAAATCTGTAATCCAGGTGTTCTTCCAGTCGTGCCTGCTCTTCTTGAATTATTAATTTCGTATGAAAATATTCGGTATATTAAAGAAGTACTTGACCATCTTTTTTTGTGCACATCCTGCATAATGGGGAAGGTTTCTCAAAAGTTTTCTTACAAGTGAATTCCCATGTGGTGCCTGTTAGTCACAGCTAATTACAGAGGCTGGTGAATGAAGAATGTATTGGAGCTCAGGTTCCCCTCCTCCTCCTCCTCCCCCAGTGCTTCAGAAGAAAATAAAATAAAAAACCTGCAGACAAATCCAGGTTTTTCTGTGGTTGTAGTCTCCAAAGAGCTCCAGAGAGAGATCACAGATGTGGTTTCACATTTCAGGTTTAACTATGGTGTAATAACTACAGTATTATCTGCAGGAGAAATGCAAGTGGGGAAAGAATCATTAATTGACAGTGAAAAGTTCAACCTGTGCGCTGTGTGTTTATTTTTTTAAGCAGCTGAATGTTTAGCCAAACCATATTTTAACTTTCAACTGCAGCCCTGAAGGTTACAATAATCTTGATACGTTAAAACCTAGGAACACTGTAGGAAAGGGAATTTAAATATGTGTTTCAGAAAGGTCAGTCATAGAAAAGCAGAAACACTTGTGATTTAGTTAAAGCTGAGATACACGCTTCAGTTTGAATTCAGTTGCGTATAAACCTGTGAGGTACGCTGACCTTACTGTACAACATAGGAACTTTTTCAGGTGTTTCAGTGGGGGCAGAGTAAGCCAGCAGTGAGAGGTGGAGTTTCATTGCTGTGCACATGAGGAACCCTTAGCTCACATAAAATGTTTAACTAACATCTAGTTGTCCCATCTTTCGTTAGCGTTCATCCCGCATCCAGGGAGTCTGCTAGGCTGAACGAGTTCCCGTGTGCGTGTGTGTGTAGTATGAGTTCAGTAGGACTGCATGGGATATGTCTATTCTTTGTTACTGGGAAGGCACCAGTGACCTTCCTGCTCCTGTGTTAGCAGCGCCTGCTGTTTTCCCACACTGCCGATTGTCAGGAATTCAGACCATACATACATAGAGCTGGGTATAATCTTCGTTGGTCAAATTATTGTCTCTGGAAAACAAAATACTTTAATTACAAAAAAATAAAATAAAATTAAGAGTTGTAATCTGAGCAGGAAATTTCCAGTTAAATGCAGATTTGAGGCTGAAAAAAAGGCATAATTTGGAGGGTACAGGATGCAGATTACATAATGAAATTATGTAGGGCTGTCAATGATCTCTCTCTTTTTAACAGGTATGCTTTTCTTTGAGGTTGGTTTGTGGTGGTTTTTTCCACCCAGTTTTTGTTTTTTGTTTTCGGAGCTGCAGTACGTAGAAGACTGCAGGAGTAGCTTGAATGCTCAGAAAGATGCTCCCAAATGACTAGGGCTAGGACAGCGGTATCCTGCCTGGAAAATGAAGTCTAAATCTGTTGCCTGAGCTCTAGGAAACACGTGTGGATGAAAACTCTTAAAATCAGTACAATACTAACAGCTGGGTAAAAAGTTGTTAGCAACAGGTGTAAATATTATAGTATCTCTTCAGAACAATTGCTGTCTGTACCTACCTGATAAGGAGAGGCATTGATATGTGCACCAAAATTACTCCATTTGGCTGTTACACATTGGAAGAGTACTCTTCGAAGGTCTGCTTTCCATCACTACGTGCTTGGGCTGACGGATAAACCAATGCCTCAGAACCACGCTACGCTATGGTGGAGGAGACTGAGGATCTCGGTTTTCCTTAAGAAATACTAAATGAATTTTAAATTATGAGATCTTTTTAAAAAGTAACTTTGAGGCTAAAGATTGTGTGAGCAAGACCTCTGAGAGGCTCAGGAGTTCAAAGCCAAGTTGTGTGATAGTGTTCTGATACTAAATGTGCTAAAAGGAGCAAGTTGGGGCTTAGTGAAACACCGTAGTACAGATGGTGCCTCGTACGGCCTTCTGCTGAGCTGCTACCCAGCAGCTGCCCTGTGCTGTGAGAAACTGACTCCTGCCTCCAAAAAGCTTTTGAGATTATTTTTTTTCTTGTTTTGGTAGGTAACGTAAGGAAGGAGTTCTTATGTTTGAACATCCCCAAACTTTGGAAAAAAGCTTGAGGTTTAGACTGTGGTGTTTTAACTTTTTTCCCTTTCTCTCTAGTGAGTAAATGCCCCCAGGGCTGAGTAGTCTTGAAGTACAAAAAGAGCGTAGGATATTAAACTAAATTCAAACGTATAGATTAGTGTATGTATGTATTTGAAACCGTTTGTTTTAGAGGCATCCCCTTCAAAAAGGCTTGCCTGCAAGTAATCTCTGAAGCACAGAAATGGTCTTAATTCAGAAGAATTGGAGAAGGGAAGAGATTTTTATTTTACACTGATGCAGTTCATCTTATTTTCCCCCAAAGGACACCGTGGTTTAATGGATGGGGCTTTAACCTACCCAGAGGTCAGTCTTTGCTAGACAAGTGGAACCTTATTCCTGAGGGAATTGATATACTAATGACACATGGACCTCCCCTTGGTAAGTGAAACAAAATCTGTGTGTGGTTTTTTGCATGAGAATTTTAAAATTTACTTTCAAAATAAGCAAAATTAATAATGCTCTTAAGTCATACCATACTCGCACCCCAACATGAAATTATGAATTAAGAAGCGTTTTTGGAAGAAGTGTCAAGTGATGGTTAGGCTTAGCAAATCTGGTGAGCTCCCAGGTGTTTTCTTAATAAAACCTAAGTTTTTTTGTTAACAGTCAAGCTAGGGAAGATCAAATATCTGACTCTGTAGGCATTATAGTTTGGCATTTCATTTAAGAAGTATCCATCTGACAAACAGTTTCAAATCCCGTATGATTTCTCAGAGATTGACTAAAGCTTTCAAAACATTTTTCCGCTACAATGACTTGTTGTTACCTTAAGGTTTTAGAGTACGCAGTTTAGGAGCATGGAGTCATGTACTCTCGTTGATGATGTCTTTGTAAACTCAGAATTTGTAACAGCAGTTTTAAAGATATTAATTGGTTTATAGCAAATTTGTGAAGGAGTAAAATTACGTTCTCAGATAATTGTTCCTTACTTGAACTAATGACAGGTAAGCACAAGTCTATGAATGCATAATTTGTTTTCTTCATGAAGTAGTTGAAGTTTTTCATTTGGTTAAATTTTGCTTGCCTTGTAAATGTGAGTAATTCACTGATACCCATTTTAATTCTAGGTTCTAAACTAAGTTTTAGTGGTCTCAAAAAGACACTAGGATGATCATTCAGCAGAGGCAGGAGTACTCGGGTTTGGCATATCTGAAGTCATTGAACCCCACACTAAAACATTTGAAAATTCCCACTATTTTTTCCCTATCCTGTACTCCACGAGACAGCATCACATATTTTTTACTGCTTTTCTTTAAGACACGTGTGGCAAGCAGTTTAGGACCATATTTAAAATATTTCAGTTGTTTTTACAACAATTGAGCATCTGCCTTTTATAAATGTGGCTTATCAGGATAAGAAAGTGTCCGTCTCGTCTTCATTACTGTTATTGCTAGTAGATTGGGATTTTGTCAGGGTTTTAGTAATCTCTTGAAATCCAAGGGGTCTGATCATCACATGACCACATGAAGTCAAGACTTTTGAGGTGGTAGTGAATGTGAAAAAAACTTCTCAGAGTTGCAAGGTGCATTGTAAAACAGCATTTAAGTGCTACCAGGCTGGCTCAGCTCTCTCACAGAGCTTCTCAGTGACCGTGGAGTCAGGAATTAATGCATGCTTATGTTTTGTACCACTATTAAGTTAAGAGTCTGCAATCTAAGCACAGCTAAGGAAAAAAAAATAGTCCAGAAAGTTTTTGACTGGTAATGTACTTTACTCTCCTTTTATTTCCTGGTTACGCTTTTAATGCTTCTTAGAGAATGTTGTAAGATGAAGTGCAAAATCTCTTTAATCTTACTAGAGCTACCAGCATGCTGCTTTGATAAAGCAAGCGATACACCATCCACTGACAGTGGAGTGCACCGGATATTGAAAACTAACGCTTTGAATAGCACTCTTTTAATCTGTTTATTTTCCCAAAGAAGCAAAAAACCCCACAAGCATGTTTATAATGTTCCATGGGTGCTGTTTTAAATAGGTTGCTAATCCATCTGCTCTGAATTGGGTTCATATAGAAATACTGTGATGCTGCAGACACTAATGAGTGTTTTAATTGAATAGTGTACTTAAATTTTGGGTTTGATGGAGATAATGAAGTTCAATTTCAAAAGGTTGGCGCCGTACAGACATAGATTACGAGTTAGTACTGTGCCTGAAAGGAGGGGATCTGTGTCTCACCCAGCATGATAATATTGACGAAATGCTGCTTTTTAAATTACGTAAATATTAAAGGAGGTGGAGCTGTAACTGGACTCTTTGTTCTCTCCAACATTCAGTCAAGTTCATGTCACAACATGTTTTTACCACCTGGGATAAACTTGGCACAGGGTGTAATTACTCTGAAGTCAGTAGAACGGTGCTACAGTTGGATGTGGCTCCTGATTTCCCTTTTACCCCTCATTCATTTTGCCCTGCTGATCCTTACGAGTGCTAGTCCAGGCAGCGGACTTCTGCTGTAATAACTGATGTCAAGCTTTGTGCTTTTTCTCCGTATTATCCATAGGACCGAGTGACAATGTAGTCATTCAGCACTAGCTTGTTGGAAGCTGTTTTGCTACATTGCTTGTTGTTGGTGACGGGGGTCTCAGAAGTAACCTAGTGCTTGCAGAGCATGGTCCTCTGGAGGTTGGGGCAGACTGTATTTTAAATCTTCGGGGTGGCAGAGGTAGTGGGTCGTAGATCAGCTGATCTTCGTGAGGTGTTTCGTTTCTGAAGTAAAAGCACGGCTGGCTTGGGAAGCTGACTGCTGTAAGAGCCAGGGGAAAGGGAATAAAAATCTGCAGCAGTGCCGGGAATAAATGTCCCAGGGTTTCAAGGTGGAAGACAGTTTAAACCTATAGTTTAAAAAAACCAAGTCACATCCAGAAAAATATTAATGCAGATGGAGGGAGGAAATCTTAAGGAAGACAAAGTGACAGTGAAGCATTTCTTAAAAGCCATTGTGTCCTTTAATGGAGAGGTTACGACTACAGATAATGTAATAAACCTTCGGTGAATTATGACTTCCTGAAAGACTACGTGAAACCTTACCTGAATAGAGAAAATTAATAGTATTGATTGCATTTTGCCTTCAGGTTTTCGAGACTGGGTTCCAAAGGAGCTGCAGAGAGTGGGTTGTGTGGAACTGTTGAACACAGTGCAGAGGCGAGTGAGGCCCAAACTCCATGTCTTTGGTGGGATTCATGAAGGTAAGGAGCAGCGCTACTCCCTCCCCTCTTGGATCTCAGGCTGATTGCAAAGAAGTACATTTTAGTGGTGTATTGCGGAGGATGGACAATGGCATATTGGACTAAAGCAGGGAGGGAGTTGAGGGAAGTGATGGCATGCACAGCACTTCATAAATTTATGCCAAAATTAAAACAGACTGTTTCAGGAGCATGTGCTACATTTAGCCACCTACATCTTTCACTGTGCAAAGGTTGTTCTATACAGGTTATTTGAAAGCAATTCAAATTTTGACAAACTTGGTTAGAGAAACAGATGAGATTCCCCACACTTGGAAGTGAAAATGAAAATTATCCCCATTATTCCAAGCGCAGGAGCCAAGAAAGGTGCTAGAAAAAAAAAAAAGAAAATTGACGACAACTTACTGTCTCAGCTCACCTCCCTCAGCATATAAGGAAGAGCAGAAAGGAGGGCATCTTGAGTCAGTCGTCAGGAGGAGAGATTGCCAGAACTCACTTTGCATACGTTTCTAAAAGTATCCTTAAAAGTTTGTACTGTGTATGTTACCTTCCAGCAGTCTCATATTTTAGAAGAGGTATTTCCCCACTGCCAGTACCAAATGAAGGCAGAAAAAAATAAGCTCAGTTTGTGGCAGGGGAAGAGACCGAGAGATTAAATACATTTTGGAGTTACTTAAATAATTAATACAATCTGTGGCTTTCATGTGGCTGAGAGACAAACACTAGGAGTTCTGCCTGAGAGAGAGTGTAAGACTTTGTGACCTTAAAACTCAAAATTACACATTAAATGCTTTATATTGTTCCCCCCTGGAGGTTTCTCCATTGACTCTAACTAGGTTCTCCATAGGCTTAAAGATTTGGAGGACTTCATAAAAGAAAAATAAAAAAAGGACAGCTTTCTCAACTAGTGGTGTTGGTTTTTCTGAAGCCCTTGTGACCTCATACAATGAGTTTCATGCCTGGTATCTGTAAATAAAGAGTTTATAAAGGAAATACTGACATGACCTTAAGTGTAGTGCCATGAATAGCAGTCTTTTAATGCACCCAGGAAAAGACTGGGTGTTTTGTATGAATATTAATCCTTGCGTATTAAGAACAAACAAATACAGCAAAACTCTCAGCTAAAACATGTAAATTGTCTACAGCCTTTGTAGGCACTTTGGATGATGAAACTTCTAGTTGTAATGGTGTTAAGTAATGGGAGATGAAGGTATTTTAATGTACAAGATCATTATTATGAGAAAGCACCAAGCTGCACCTCACATTTAGATCTCATAGGAAAGGTGGCAGCACATATTAAAAGTGAACATTCCAATGTATTCCTACAAGAATACTAACAAAATAGTTAAAATCCTGTTTAGTACTTACACAGAAGACGTAAGAGCAGCTAGTTTCAGTACAGAAAGAAGTAACCAGGTGTTAAGAGCATTATCTTACAGTGCAATTAATTTTCATCCAACTCCAGCTGAGATGAACATGCACCACATTCCATTAAATCAGTGGAGGCTATACGCACATTTTGGTGGTGCAGACTTTCTTCCTGGTTGGTAAGCAAGAACAACTACAAACAAGGGTTTTGCCACCATGAGATCATCTAAATCAAAATTGCCAGTCTAAATAAATAAAGTAATACAGGCGGACAGTGCAGCAATTCTGAAGCGATTATTCTTTTTGATAGACACCGTGGGTAGCTGTATTTATCTTAGCTTTCAGCCAGCAGTGATCTGTACTGTATCATAATGGTTTAAAAGGAAAACATTTTTCCCCTGTGGGTTTGCCATGGGAAGTTCCCTTCCTCTATGAAACCCTGATTTATTTTTTTTTAATAGTACATTTGGTGCCAAATTCTTCCTAGATTTTTTCTAGCTTCTTTGTTAGCTTTTTGTGGATGTCAGCTGTAAACAATGGCGAAGCTTTCTCTCACCTTCCGTACTGATGGAACTGGAGCCTCTGTCTCCTTAACCTTGAGGGGATGTCTGTAAGAGCAGAGCTTCTACCTTGTCAGTATCTCTACGCTTCCGTTATCATTCGTTTTCTCACATCACATTTGCTGAATGAAGGCTCAGGTGTGACTCAGTTCGTGGGTCGCTAGAGTTTGCTCCAGTTGCCCAAAATTACCGGAGTGCACAACCCTCTGTTGTGTCCTATTCCTGTGCGGCAAGTGGGAGAGGAGGTAGAGGCCAGCGGAGAAAGGGGATTGCTGCTGGTTCCTCAGACGCGCTCTGAACAAGAGCGTTGCTGGCCAGATGTTCAGAAGGCTGAGAACAGTCTTCAGCATCCTGAAACTGATGCCGTAGTGTTGCTGAGGAGGCAAGTCCTTGGCAGGCTGAAAAACCTGTGTTTAATAATTCGCTTTTTCTTGCTTTTTGTTTGGGAAGAAGTTATCAAGATCACTTCGTAATGAAAAGCAGTCAGGTATTTAACCTTCACCTCGATTTTCTGCTTAAGCTAGGGGTCATCCATTGACCTCCAGCGCTCCGTTGTGTTTATAGCAGGAGATGCCTTTCCTTAGTCGGGATTTTTAGTGGTAGATATGTAAAGTAAATATGTGTGTGTGTCTATTTTTAACCTGCCAATGAGTTTCACAAGCTAGCATGAGCAGCAGCATGGCAGTCCCATGATGAGGAACTGGATGATAAGGGTTAGCATGGGGAAAGCTTACTGGGTTCGGTTCGTTGCCCAGAGAGGGGGGTTTTGTAGGTGAAACCAAAGTTACTCCTAAAGCTTTTGCTCCTGATTGGTCTTTTTCTTATGACAGACGTTACAGGCGTGCGAACTGCAGCTCACTAAAGTAAGTAATTAGCAAAAGTACATGTGTGGCTTGGTCTCTGTTTCTGTCGTATCCAGTTGGAACAGAGGATTTTCCACGGGGGGACAAAGTTTGTACATAAAACAAAAGCGGCAGTTCTTATTTCAAACGCAGTACGTTGTATTTTTTTTTCAGTCAGGCCTTTGCGGCAGCTTTCAAGAGCTCGTATCATTTTGGAGGGATTAATTTAATTCTATTCCAAAGCAGCATTGATCCCACAGCAAGCTTTCGGTGCAGCTGCCCACGGGCAGTATCGTTTGTTCATCTTGCAGTGAGTGTGACACGTTCTCCCTGCAGGTTACGGCATTATGACAGACGGTTACACAACCTACATCAATGCTTCAACGTGTACAGTCAGCTTTCAACCGACCAACCCTCCAATTATATTTGACCTCCCAACCCCTCAAGGATCATGAAGCACTACCGCACATTTGGAACTGGGGAAGGTCTATAAACTGCCATTTTCTAGTTACAAACTTACATTCTGTTACATGTTTATTTCAAAAT